TTTCTCAAATATTCATATTCATTTAACTTCCCATTTTATTTCTGTATTACCCTTAGAAACATTTCACAGGTATCAATCAAAATAGTATCTTTTTAATAATTGTTCTGACATAGCAAAATTAATTTACATTAAATATGCATATTGCTATTTCAGTATTTTTTAAATAAAATATGTTAATTTGGACATTGTGTATGTCAGATTAAAATGTCTTTAAAAAAATTTAAAAATTAATAGATGTACCTACTCTTACTCATGAATACAGGTCTGAGTGAGGATACAGACATTAAACAAGGAGTCAGGATTGCTATGTTAAAGTAACATTGCTACCATTAATTTGATTTTTTATTTTGAAAAATTGATTTTGGGTCCTCACTTTCTTTCCAATTAAATAAAAATAAGCAGGTAAACAGTATGCTAAACTCCATCCAATTATAAATTCTGTGAATCTATGAATTGTTAAGGTATACTTCAAACAATATGTATTCTACAAAATAGTTAAGTTTTTGATCCAAGTTTAGTGTCAGATCTGCACTGCTAAAACTGTGTGTGACTACATAGTATTTAAACTTGTTTAAACCACCTAGCCATTATTTACTTGGAACTTACAGAATAGCCAGGTTGCTGATTTCAAATTAAATTTAAAAAGACTATATCGTGGGCTGTCTCAGATCTTTGTAAATTTCATAGGATATTAGAGTTAAACAGTGGCTACCAAATTTTTTTTTCCACTTGAAATTTAACACTTGTCCTACTATTAATATGTTTTGTAGGCAAGTTGGATTTCCAATTCAATGTGGAAATCATGTCTTTCTTACTACTTTGTGGTTAAAATATCTTTAATTTTTGAAAATTTATGCCAAGAGGGGCTGGGGATGTGGCTCAAGTGATGGCATGCTCGCCTGGCATGCGTGAAGCACTGGGTTCGATTCTCAGCACCACATAAAAATAAAATAAAGATATTGTGTCGATCTAAAACAAAATAAAATAAATAAATATTTTTAAAAATATGCCAAGATTGGGAAACTGCAAGTTGGTACAGGACTCTTCATTAGCAAAAATAAATGTTAATAACTTAGTACCTCACACTTGTTTCCTTCTGAAAATTGTACTGGTTTATAAAATTCCAAGGAATGGAATTCGTGATGTATTTCTCTGGTCTTACATGGCAGACCAAGAAACTCCTTGCAAAGCAAAATAAATTCTCCCCAAATAAAGAGTTAGAGGTTGTAAATCACAATTCAAAATGAATTTTGTCATACCGTTCAATGTTTTATCAGATTAAAAAAAGGGTTTGCCTTACCTATTTTCTTGTTCTTTATTTACTATTATGGTGGCAACTAGAGCTCAGAACTTTTATTCAAATGAAGCAAATAATGTCAAATTATATTTAATGTGTTGGGTATTTTTTTGTTTTGAACAAATGTGGCAGAAAAAATAGAGATCATTTGAAAAAGGTTGATATTTCACTGCTTCCAAACATATTCATGAAGAATTTTAAATACTATG